ACTACTACTACTACTACTACTACTACTACTACTACTACTACTACTACCTACTACTACCTACTACTACCTACTACTACCTACTACCTACTACTACTACTACTACGACTACCACTACCACCACCACCACCACCACCGCCACCACCACGACCACTACGACTACCACTACTACTACTACTACTACTACTACTACTACCACGACGACGACTACTACTACTACTACTACGACTACGACTACTACTACTACTACTACTACTACTACTACTACTATACTACTATACTACTATACTACTATACTACTATGCTACTACTACTTACTACTTACTACCTACTACCTACTACCTACTACTACTACTACTACTGCTACTGCTCCTGCTCCTGCTGCTGCTGCTACTGCTACTCCTACTACTACTACTACTACTACTACTGCTCCTGCTCCTGCTGCTGCTGCTACTGCTACTACTACTACTACTACTACTACTACTACTACTACTACTAACTACTACTCCTGCTACTATTCTATTACTACTACTACTGCTGCTGCTGCTGCTGCTGCTGCTACTGCTACGGATCCACTGCGAAGAACGGCTGTAAAGGAGTCGGAAAGTCAAAACAAGCTAAACTTCGATCACATTCGAACGCCAACAGCAACAACAACACACTACACAAACCTAAAACTGCGTCAGAATCCATGAAGCCAAAACTTGCAGGGCATTGAAACATGAAACGAACCCCCCCCTTTCCCTTGCCCCCCGTCCCCCCCTTGGTGGTGCTTAATCATTTCACAAAAACGCAACCAACAAATATAACAAAGTAACCCCTACCATGAAATATTGGACGCAAACAAAAGCAACAAAACATTGTAAATACCAATGAAAAATGACGAAAAGCAACAAAACACTGTAAATACCAATGAACAATGATTAAAACGCTCTCCCCAGGCACCCTGCGGGTAAATCAACAAAACACTGTAAATACCAATAAAACATGATGGTAAACGCTAGAAAAATACCGGGGGACCTGGGGAACCGCTAGCTACTACTACTACTACTGCTACTGCTCCTGCTCTTGCTCACTAGTAGTAGTAGTAGTAGTACTACTACTACTACTACTGCTACTGCTACTATACTACTATACTACTACTTACTACTTACTAGTTACTACTTACTACTACTACTACTACGACGACTACTACTACTACCACCACTACTACTACTACGACGACTACTACTACTACTATACTACTATACTACTATGCTACTACTACGTACTACTTACTACCTACTACTACTACTACTACTACTAATACTACTACTACTACTACTACTACTACTACTACTACTACTACTACTACTACTACTACTGTTCTACTACTTGCTACTACTTACTACTTGCTACCACTACTACTACTACTACTGCTACTACTACTACAACTACAACTACTACTACCACTACTACTGCTACTGCACCACTACTGCTACTGCTACTGCTACTACTAATACTACTACTACCACCACTACGACCACTACTACTACTACTAGTACTACTTTTGGTGGCCTTGGTCCTGTTTAGGCACTCTCCATTGTTTGCTGGGAGGACGGATATGCCTCAAGATCGAACCTTCGCCATGGGGTCGTTGGAGGGTCCTTTGGTGACGTACCGAGGGAACCGGGCGGTTCACCGGATGTTTGAAGAGCCGCGCGAGTGAGGGGCCACAAGAACACAAACACTGTAACAGCAGCTCACCAGAGGTAGCATATTCATAGCCCACATCTCCCAATCATTCCGGTTTACTACCAATTCAACTGTTCTAACTCCGCTTCCCAGGCTAAATGACTTCCTCCGCTGCGCCCAGGAAGCTTTGGCCAAGCTCCCCTTTTGGCCACCCTGCACCGTGCTCTTGGCCCCGAAGACGACCTTTCGCGAAGCCCTGGCCATCGATGGCACCTGCGTTCTGCTGGGTGGGTCGGGCACCGTGCTGGCGCCGGCGGCACGAACAGTGGCCGTTCGGCCGGACGGGGATGTGGACAGGGGGGGTGTGTTCAAGCAGGGAGACCTCCCAGGCGTCTCGACCCCCTGGAAGAAGGGAAATAGACTGGTCTACCCCTTGGTTGGGTTCGTGTGTTCACCTCACGCTTAGCTGGGGGTGGTCACTGCATGTCGTCGACTGCATGAAATTGCAAAGGCCAAAAACCCATGGGGTGGGTGTCTCCCTATGAAACTACAGACCCACATGTTGGATCATGATTCATGATACCAAGGAAGTACATGGACCACCTGCAGGTCACCTTTCAGGGGGTGTGTACCCACTCACATCATCTCAAATCCAACAGGTAGATAAAGCCCGACATGGATCTATGGCAACGATTGTCATCTCGAAGATTCACAACATAGTTTTACTTTTTCTAGCACACTTTTCCGGAGCACCCTCTTCGGGCATCGCAGGCAAGTGTCAAAGTGGTCATTTGCTGCAAAAGGCCCTTTCACGGTTGAGCGACTTTCAGAAGGCCCACAATCATCCAGAATCCAGAACGCCGTCTCGGCGCACAGGGCTTACACAGTGTAAAGGGTGCAAAACACATCAATTCAACTTTGAAGGTGGCCCCAACTGCGGCCCCACCGGCAGCAATCAACAGATACCAGATGGTTTGGTTCCACCTCAAAAGGAGGTGTTGATAGAAGTAACTTTCTCCTGCAACCCACAGGAAACGCACGCTATTTGGCTCTCACATTCTGACTTCGCTACCGCTCACACAGGTACCACACCTCCCAAGTTAAACTTTGATATGCTCCGCAACATCCACCCAACTCCTCCGAAGCATCCACCCAAACTCCGCCCAGACCGGTGTCCCTCCACCGCTGCTCTCCTTCGCCGCGGCCGCCGCGCCCGACGCCGCGTCATACGACGCGCCGCGGACGCTCTGCGACGTCACGGTCGAGGGCCCCGTGGAGGTGTTGGGCGCGGCGACGCTGCGGCGCTGTCGGGTGGTGCCGCCCGCGGCTGTCTGGGGGAAGGTGAGTGCTGGAGTGGCTTGGCGGAGGGAGGGTTGGGGCGAACGGAGGAGTCTTGTGGTAGTTTGTGTTTGTTTCGAAGGAGTGGCTGGAGTGTGTGGGATGGGAATTGGGTGTGAAATCACGTTTCGGTTTCAACGGACTGGTTCGGCTGAATCTGAGCACACTAGTGTGAGGATCACCATTCATCAGTGCGTGATTGCGTCATTAATCACTGATGATCAACACTACATCAAGTATGACGATATATCAAGTTTCAAGGATATTCAAGGTTTCATGATGAGTTCCGTGATATGGTGCTTAACGATGAGTGCTGGACTCCCTGGCGCACCTTTTTCACTCTGAACTCCCTTCCAAGGTCGCTACAAAAGGCAAAGCCCAACTACGGCTGGAGCACTGCACCTTCCAGGGCTGGAAATCCGCTGCAGTGTGCTTTCGCGATGCGCCTGGGCGGAGATCGGAGATGCAGATGTGGCTTCACCCTCGAGTTGTTGGAAGGGTTGTCAGCCAGATCCAACTCCTTCCCTCACTCTTGTGTTAGAGGGGAATAGAAAATAGTTTGCTAATTCATTCGGATGTAATGATGTGTATGATAATGTAACCAAAAGAGAGACGCTGCCCGTTTTTCTCTCCCTGCGGCCTTTGCACGGCGCCCTCTTGCGAAGCGGAGCTCCAGGACTCTGGAGCTTCGCGACGGTGCGACACGCGCTGGAAGGAAGTCCATGGTTGTTTCTCCATGTCATCATGATCAGGTTTCAATACCAAGGTTTTACCCAGTCAGATAATCGCTGGAACGAGCCATCTTCAACCCAACAAGTTGCTTTGGTGGACTACAGGTGGGCCATGGAGAACCTCCGGCCAACCAAGGACTCCGATGTGACCTTGAAGGAGTGTCGCTTCGAGGAGAATCCAGGCACCGTGATTTTGAGGGTGTTTCTTCGGTGATTTCACCGCTTTCGCACCAGCCGTCCTGGACATGGTGAGTTCGTCACATGAGTTTCACTCGGGGCTGACAGGTTTTTTTGTGCACCAAGCACCTGAGTGCTTCCCATCACACTAATGAAAGTGTTATGATTCATCATGCCCAGAATATTCCAGAAGCATATTATGAGTTTCAACACTTCCCGTATAGGGATCCTTGTCATATGGAAACACTACCCGCTACCCAATGGGGATCAAGGACCAGGAGACTGGACCTGGGTCAGGCTGGACCTCTAGGATTCTAGACTAACGCATCATATGAATACCTGGAGTCGACTCGTTCGTACCTCGGAAAATGGGTACAAGTACCTGTTTTTATGGGGTCATGTCATGTCCCATTTTCTAAGGTACTTTTGGAGGGTCCAGGTAATTAATGCTGATATCGTTCTTTGATGTTCCAATAATGACTCATTGTCCCACACCCCAGCTGGCTGCGAGCCGGTCTCCCCGACCGTGGTCTCCCCGACCGAAACCCGACTAACATAGAGCCCCGAAACCACTGGGTTGTAGAGGTTCCAATGGTCTTCCACTGGTCAATTCTCAAGTTCCATGTTAGTCTGCGTGGGGGTTGCTCAATATTATGATTCGCTGCCGATGAAATGGACACGCATAAAAACCAACCCCGAGAGAGAGAGAGAGAGAGAGAGAGTTCGTTCATAGGCAAAGCCCAGGATTCATGCCCATGGTGATGCGCGGAAGGGCCATTCCAGGGGCCATTCAATCGAGCGTCCCAAGACCCAGACGATGTTTTATAGAGAACCCAAATTCAAGATTCGCACTAAAGATGTATTGGAAAAAGATTGGAAACCGTTTCCATCAACTTGGGGATCACTATAAATGTTTGAGCTGTTTTTCGTTCTGTAAGATCATTATAGTAAAACAATGGTGGTTCTGTAGTTGGAAGCCTAGGGCTCCCATAGCTCCTCACCGCCCTGCGAGGCACTTGTATCTCCGCAAGAAACGCAGCGTCCATCACAGCACCTGGATTGATGGGAGAGTACGATCTGGTAGTGGGTGTTTGGTTGTATGGACCTAGAACCTGAGTGACCCCTGTTTTGGAGGATTGCCGAAATATGTGGTTCTGTGGATATGAGAAGCAGTATGGAAATGGGCAGAGAGGAGTCCATTCGCTCTGTTTTTCAACATGGTCAAACCGTGTTACGTCTCATCGGCGCCACACGCGTCTGGGGGCCGAGAGTCACGTGTACCTCACCGCCGAACGAGACGAGAATCGTCCTTCGGCCGCGGGGAGTGGGAAAAGGGTGATCTCCCAGAATTGGCAACCCAGGGGCTACTAGGACGCTACTAGTAACAAGGGCATCGCTACTTAGTAGCTAGCTAGCTCCTAGTAGCGATGCCCTTTGTTACCCAGACGTGACCCTGGGCCCTCATAAGGGGTTGGACCCGAATCCGAACTGCTCAGGGGTCTGGGGTTTCGAACCAATCCCTAGGCTTTGAGGGACCAGTCGGGCTGTTCGGAGCGTTTGGTTTAAAGAAAACTCTATAGTTTTGGTGGTGAAAACATGGGTTTCCTGCAGATTGATCCCCTTAAACCAATTCATTGAGTCATCAGGCGCCACCTGGCTCTTCAAACCTTTTCTCTCCGGGTTTGAGAGTGGGACCGGGTTTTTGGGGGGTCAGAAGAAGGGGCCCAGGAGCTCCAAGAAGGTCGAAGGAAGGGTTTCTCCCCTCGACCGAGACTGGAGATGTAAGAGTTTGGCCCCAGACCTGCAGGATCTGCAGGATCTGAGGCATCCGTGAAAAAGTAGTGCCATCGCAGATCTATTTGACTTGCAACTTATATTATAACTATATTAACATATATTAACTATAAAGCCTTAAGAAGGTGAGCCCAGTGGTGACTTCCCTTGCATTCCCTTGCCGTTCCTTCCTCTCACTGGTGTTGTCTTTCTTGCTCTTTCCGAAACCTCCCACCACCCCGCGGCCCACGTGGTACGTTGGCTCCGCTTCACTTGCCTGCGTCCCGTCCGCGCAAGCGCCGCACTGCCCGCACCGCGCGAGGTCCAGCAGAGCAGCTTGACGAAGAACGGAGGACCAGTGATTCAGCTCCGGGATGCCACGCGCCTTCGCCCCTCGGATGGTTCGATTTCGGTCGGCCCGCGCGGCACGCGCTCGTTGTCGGCGGCGCCGCGAGGGTTTTCGGAGGGTTTTCGGAGGTGGTATGCATGGCGATGGGTTCCCGGCCAAGAGATTCGTTCTGAGTTGGATGAAATTGCACTGCGTTGGGATCGATAAGGTGAGCTTCTTTTTCCCGATGAGGTCGATTGGTCTACGACAGATGCCGTGGTTCCTTCGGCCTTCCCCGCTGCTTCGCCAGGTCTGAGTGAGAGCCGCTTGGAGTCCAACAAGGGCTGCGGCATCTTGGTGCGGGGCCAGGCGGAAGCCTTCATCAAGTCCAGCTGCCTGGAAGGCCTCCCGTTGTTGAGTCGAACACGGACTGCTGGGGGAACCCACACGGAGGACAACACCATGGTGGAAGCCAGATGATTCCGTAGCACTTTGAGTGTTGAAGATCCAAACCTACTATAAGCCGCTACTTCTCTTCGGCTTCGGCAATCGAATATTCTTGTCCTGATGGTGCTGATCTATTTGGAGAAGCCCTTCCCCCAAAGAAGGATCCAAAGCAATTCGGCAAGAGTACGTCCGTGTGAAAATGGTGGCTCGAAACCTGAGTTTGATTCTCACAGGCTTCAGTATACGGTAGACCAGAACTCCTGGTGTTGACCCATCCACAGTGATCCACAAGCCAAAGATGAACTGAAGCCCTGCCCTTGATAGGAACAGCACATGGGGTTGGACAATTGTATGACCTTTTCTAGAGGTCGCATGCCAGCACTTGTCGAACCCTTACAGCTTTCTTAGATAAAACGATGAAGGTGCTGTAATATGTTGTTCAAAACAATCATAGCCCCCCACCACAAAAAGGAGCTTTTCGAAAAACAACAGCTTCCCCAACCTCGATGGCCTTCGTTGTGGCTTCCAAACTCTTCCTCTTCCAAAACGAGTTCCCCAAGTTGGACTCGCTCTCCAGCGAGTCGATGATGCGGGCGTCGAAAAACCACCCAGCGGAGAAAACAAGATGTCAACGGTGAGGACACAAGATGTCAGCGGTGGCCTTTCAACATCAAGCAAAAGGCTCCGTGCTGGAGTGCCGCTTCGAGACCTGGACCTTCGAGTTCGAAACGGGAAGAGGTGGGTGGGTGGAGCAAGCCGCGCAGGTGATGTGAAGGCCTTCTTGGGGGACGGAGTGTTGGAGGATGCCGGTTTGAGAAAGCGCAGGAAACTGAGCTGGAAGTGGTGATTTGATCATGAAATCCCCCAGACTCGTTTCCAAATTGAATTTGTTCCAGTGTATTGTGCTGTAAGAGAACCCCCAAAACTGTCAAACCCAGCATTGTGCAAGAGTTTGTCACTACCATCCAGAGTCCGATCTTCACTACCATCACTACCAGACAGTTCAAAGACAGTTCAACCATTGCCATTTATTCCATGACTCCCTGGCTTGCCCAAGCTTGCCTACCATGCCCACACGATCCATGGTGACGCATGTCTGCCTACATGGTGCCTGCGGTCAGGTCGTCAGCGATCGCGTCAGGGATCGCTCCGTCCGCGGCCCAGGAGCGCAACGACGGAGCTGTGGTCCTGGTGAACGGCTCCGCCGAGGTCACCGTGGAGTCCAACGCCGCCCGGGAGCAGCGGAGCGGAAGAAAGGGGTGGGGAGCAGTGGAGCGGAATGGGGTGGAGGGGTTGGAGGATAGACTCTATCGGAAGTGGATGGATCACCAAAACCATTTTGGGAGATTGGAGACGCCCCACTAAGTATGAGTTAACAGATGGAAAGGGATGGGTTGGATGAGAGCAGTTAACGGCTTCGACTCCATCTTCAACGTCTCCACTTACTTGAGGGTGGAGTCGAGCCACGTGTTCGCTGGCCTGGGAATCTTGCATTTGGGTAAAGACAAAGCCACGGGGATCAGCTAGATTACTTCACTAGTTTCGTATATTGCGTTCCAGCACATGGTCGAAGTCATTCGAAGTCCAACATTTGAATTTATAACTCCCTGAGATCCTCATGGTTTCGTGGATGGCACCACCTTTTTCTTTGGTATGTGGATTTCATGGTCATCCAAGGGGCCATGCCGTCCATATAACCATGATTGTTCTAGGGTGTGTAATGTTCCAGATGTCATTTCGTGTGTTTTAGTAGCCACCATCGCTCCAGCCAAGTGAGGTGCGCCATGCAAGGTGAATTGGTTTTGTTTGGAAAATCAATAGGAAACCCATGGTTTTCACAATTTTATCATCCACATCTGCAGCCCAGGTTTTTGAGAAGAACGGCAAGTCGCCGCCGGTCCTCGAGTTCCACGGCGCCGCAGGCGTCGCAGCCGCCGGTCGCATGGTCGTCGTCTCGTCGCCGCGGAAAAAGAGAGCGGTCGGTGGGAGGATTTTCTTGGGTGGCGCGTATGAGGGTGTCGAGGTTTCTACGGCCCTGCTATGCAGGAGGGGGACAGGGTGTGGGGGTGTGGGTGTGTGTGTGTGTTTCTGAATTATTTTTGGTGTCCACGGTGGTTGTTGCAGCTGTTTTGCCTCCTGACGTTAATGCTGTTGGTTTGTTGTTTTCTGCTGGTTGTGGCTTTGTTGTGGTTGTGATTGTCGTTGTTCGTTGTTGTTCAGTATTGAATTTCCTGTGGCGAAGAAAAGTAACAAGTCTAGATACACTCATGGCCTTTGCCCGCATAGGTGTGATATATAATCTTGTAAGAATATCTAAACCGTCCTGGAAAGGGCTACTGTTGGCGGCATCTCTGTCTTTCGGTTGTCGACGATCCCAAACAAAATGACAAAAGGCTACCTGGAGATCTTCATGGGATACAAGATGATAACAAGATGATTCAGCAAAACCGTTGTGTTCCCTGCCAGGATGTATGCACGTTCCTTTGGTGGACATACAACCCAACGCCTTTCCAGTGACCTGGATCCTTGATCTGTGGGCACAGTTCAGATTAGCAACACAAAACTATCACTCACGCCAGAGAACCCACGAGGAAAGCGGGTGGAACCTTGACAACTGGCGTTTGTATGTGTGTTCATCCACAGTTTGTCTCCTGAAAGTTCAGTGTGTTTACTCCTAGCAAACACAATAATCATGCAATTCCATCATGCTTCTTAGTTGTGATTCCTGCTAAATGGCTGGTTCCTGTAGAACCAGTCGCTATAAGGCCCAGTTACCCATGAGACAAGCCTCACCAGTAGCCTTTTAGCAATGCTGTGGTATCAGGATTAGTGTTGATCACCCTTTATCGTCTGGTATAATACGCGGGCTCCCGGAAGGGACGCCAATTTTGATGCCTGTGTTGCGGTGGGATTTGCGAGTATCCACTGCCCTGTTGGGTGTTTCAATGTTAAGGGAGATGCTTCAAGAGCTTTTAAACACCGGCAGCATCACCGGCAGCATGGACAAGAGGACCGGACCTGTGCCCAACACCGTCAGGTCCAGTGAAGGCGAAGATTGTGGCCAAGCGAGACACTTGGAAGTCTTGTGCTTTTCGATGTCAGATTTCCCTATAGATCCAGTCGTACCTTCTCAGGTTCGGTACGACTGGACCCTCCAAACCTATACATAACAGTGCCTCCAATCACCGTACCTGAGAAGGTACGACTGGATCCCTAGGGTTTGTTTTGCATGTGAATGTTCCATGTGCCCATCTCGCAGATTGGCATATTCCTCAAGTCTATTCCTCAAGTCTATAGAGGTGGTGTGGCCGGAACGAAGAACGTAGATCGGATCGTAGATTCTCGGTCCTAGTAGCTGCAATGGGTTCGGAACTTGCCCAATCCGCCCTTCTTCTCTGCGTGCGTGGAACAACGTCGCGTGGGTCGAGCGACCGAGCTTGATGACTCGATGACCCGCCTCCAAGGAGAAGGACGTGAACGGCTTGACGCACCAGCTCTCCTACATCAGCGGAGCTGAAGGCTCTGACTGGGCCAACCTGGACGAGTCAGCGCAGATGATCCGCAATCGCGCTGGGCCGCTGGGCAATTCTGCGGAGTGTGCAAGCGACCGGGGGTCCTTGGTGGATGGTTGAAGAGAAGCAAGACTCCCCCAGAAGTGCACCCCCTTTTTGAAGATGTTGATGATTTTGGGAAATAGGATGGTTGAACAGCCAAATATGAGGGACGATTCATGAGCCGTCATGAATTGATGAATCAGTTTTGATAGATGATTTGGATGGATCTGTGGTTGTTGTTGATGAGCTTAAGAAGGATCAATACTGGCACTGCGCCAGCAAAATGGTGGCCAATGTATGCTTTGTCCAGTCAGTGGCATGCCAGTGATCAGTTTTGTAGCATTTTGCTATCCTTTAGTCAGTAATTCAGTGCTTGATCCTCAGCAAAGATGTTCTGCCTGAGGACGGAGAGGCACTCTCAGAGCGAAGAAAGACGACTTCGGGTTTGGTCAGCCGTTCAAAGGCTCCTCTTCCACTTTGTGGCTTCGTTCAGGCTCTTCTTCCACTTTGGTCAGGCTCTTCTTCCTACCAGGGTCTTTGTGGAAAAAAAAGACCCAAACGCGTATGGCCTCATGTATGGCCTCGCGTATGGCCTCGGACTCATCCCGCCATGGACGCCCTTGGACGCCCCCCCTAAGGGAGACGAATGTGCCGTACCAGATCAAGGACGGGGCCTCTGGGCGGCGAAGACGGGCGCCCCCCATGAAGCTGACGCCCGGCCCGTCTCGCGGAACGGTACACACCCAGACACGGCTAATCCCTAGAGCTCCAGTCGTACATTCTAAGAAGGTGGGACTGGGGTGGGTTTAGAGGGTTCCAATACCTTCTGAGGAGGCCCTAGGGAATGGGACTGGCAGATGTACCAACCTTCACCCCTTTTCCGCCCCAATGTAAATATGTACTGTACTGTAAATAGTTCAGTCCCAGACAAGTCGTCTTTGGCCGCGTGCCGTGGCAGCACATCGTGGCGTGTTTGAAAGCTTGACACCTCGCGAGAGGTTTGGCAAAGCTTTTATAACAGATTTGTGTATTTTATTATGAGCGTTTGCCAGAACAGTTGGAAATATCCCGGGTCACCCAACCTCAACATGACCGACCAGTCCGTCCAAGTTGGAGACGTGCCTTGCGTTGTATGCTTACCTCGTCAATGGGCAACCTGCAAAACCTTTTTGGGGGGATTGGCTTCCCCACCCAAAACCAAGCAGGTGGAAAGTTGGATTGCGTTCAGCAGTTTTTTTGCCAGGGAAAACCACTCGGGAGCCAGTCCGTCAGACTCTGAGTTGATCCGTCAGACTAAGTGGCTTCAACTTGGTCGATGGCAGGAGCCCATGCGCGTTGGACAGCAACACGATGGGGAGGGCGGCACCTTGTCAGGCGTACCTGGGCTGCAACACGACGATTCGTGAACAAATGACGAAGATCCAATTGTGTTGGCCTCCTTTTTTGGGGTGTGTGCGTGTATTATGTTTGTCCGTTTTTCGGGAGGGAGGGCTAGATAACAACAAGGTATCGAAACCCTTCATTTTGGGGGACCCCTGACCATATAATATAGGTCAGATGACTTCTCTTGAAAATATCCAAGACGGGGGGATCACTGTAAGACAGGTAACTGTCCACAACTTTAAGCTTTTTATCAGAGACCAATAACGTGCAACTTGTTACATAATGCAGTGGTTGTGGATAACTTCTCTCATCACAGGTTCTTTCTGGCGACAAGCTGCTCTTCGCCACGAAGAGCAGGCCCTTGGGATGGCCTCCCTGGCCTCCCCAGAATTGGATCCCCTCCCTGCCTGCGCCGCGCCGCGTGGTTTGCGGCTCCGGACGCAAAAGGTTGACCCTTTTGACCTCAAAGTGTTCAAGGCCCCGAAGACAGCTCATCCAGCTCATCTCTCGTGATATCCCCCCAAAAAAAACAAACGTATATAATAAGGTCCTAATGCCCTAAACCCAGGAAGTACCTGGATCACCTGCAAAAGCTTCTCTTTTGGGATGACGGCAGACCAGATTTTGTGAGACACGTCCAGAAACCAAGAGTAACTATGTCAGGTCTGGGGCCGCGTTCTCTTTTTTCGTTTCTCAGCATGTTTTGGGCCGGGGGTGTACCAGTCCTAAGTCTCCACATGCTACATAGTACCAGTCCGTCAACACTCCATGTAACGGGACTATACATTGATCCCCCCAAAGCCAGACTTTTTCTGAGTCGGAGTCCAGGAGTGGAAGTCGAACATCAAAAGGCCTCCATTGCTAGAAACAAAGAAGAAGCACACGAAAAAAGGTCCCTGGACCTTCTTTCGGGATGTCCTGTTTGGAGGTCCCTAAGTAGGGCTCGGGCGAAACCAGCCAGGTGACCCCGGAATGAAGGTGCTGGTCTAATATCGTTTGCTATTAGGTTGGATGAACCAACAAAACGTCGGCTCGGCACCGAGGTGAACCTCCAACGTGGGATCAAGCGCTCAGTGCTCGCGGTCAAAGACACTGCGAAGGCGACGGTGCGGTGCAACCGGATGAAGGCCAACGATGGCTATGGTACCTTGATAGGAGGAGAATCTATAAGTGAAGGGTGGGAGGGTGGGGAGGAGGGGAGGTGGAAGTTTGTGACTCAAGTGCCTGGTGAGGTGGTGGATCTGTGCTTTCAGGGTGCAAAACCTTCAAAGGATCATCAACATGTTCCGAGACAGGAAGTATTTAGATCACCTGGGCCCAGGTCCCATTGTTGGGAAATGGAGACACCCCACTAAACAGGCGGACAGTTCGGTTAATTGTTTCAAGGGAAAATGGCTTGGGAGTCGGACCTTTGCGGTTTTTCTCTTCGGAAGTGGCCCCGAAGACTCTTCTTTTCGCTCACCATTCCCCAGACACTCCATGGGACTGGTATATATGCCGATCAGGCCAGGGGTGGTTGACTGGGGGTCAACGGATCGGCAGTCCTATGGCAGTCCCATTAGTCGGGACCTCCCATCCGGGCGCTCGTGCGTCGTCGGTGTTCACAACGAAACCGGGTCGAAACCGGTGGAATGGCCATGTCCAATTCGTCGGGAGCGGAGAGGCCTCCCTGGGAGTTCCTGCTTCGCCAGCGCCACGCAGAAGGTCAAGGAAAATTCAAGCACTGGGCGTGCTGACTATCACCCTAGACTTCCAAGACCATTGAAACAATGGTTCCGTGTAGTGTAAAATCCTTAGTTGATTCGGCAAAGCCTATTAAGTTAATGGTGGTTGGAAGCCTAGGGTCAAGAAGGTTGCCAAAGCCGGCGGACAAATGCCGAGGTCAGTTCGACCAGACGAAACTTGCTTGAACCTTCCAGCACATGTGCTGGTCCGACGGTGCTTCAGGAAGTGCTGGGAGTTAGTCTTCAAAAGCCGTAGTGGCGGAGATGCCTAAGCAGTCGCTCCCCCCGTGTCCTTTTAAGTTGACCCATTGGGAGCATCGGTTTTTCCGCCGATCAGGTTGAAGAAGTTGACCCTATTCGATCGAAAGCCGGGCTGGCAGGGATCAAAAGCTGCTGGAGTCACACGGCTGAGTTCGTTTGCGTTGCTCCAAGGTATCCTGGTGAGTGATGAAGCACAGGCCGTGATGGAGGAGAATGTGCTGGAAGAATTCAAGCATGCAGCCTGGAGCATGGGTGGGAAGGACACGTCTATTCTTGACTCCCCGGCACCAAAAAGGGGTTTTAAAAGAATACATTATACCAGCACCCGACTTCACAGGTCGCCACAAAAGCCACTTGAAAAAGTCTCCAACAGCTATCATTTCGGAGACCTGTTGGAGGGTGCTGGTAGTTTGTGAGATAGTGTTGAGTGACCTGCTGTTCATTGCTATGACAGGGAATTGTTATCCCAATTGTCGAACAGGTGAAAAATGGTTCTGTCGACATGTCAACCAGTGTCTCCTGATCTGAGCCCCAACGCCGTTGGATCCGTAACGGAAAAAGAAACGTCCAGGATTCGGCAGGATGTCATGGTGTCTTAAATACTGGAATCTGTAGGAGGAATCCTAGCTAGTTCCTACCCAGGAAATACTGGACCACCTGCAGGGAAAACCAAAACTTTTTGGTCAAGATTGGAGACAATGTTGCTCCAAAACGAGCAGGTGAAAAAAGTTAAACAGAATTCTCGGATGAACTGAGGGAGTCAGGGAAGAATCGAATTGATATACCAAGACATCCAAAGATCCCTAGGGGATCCAGTCCGTACCTCCAAAGAAAGAGTCGCTCCGTAGAACCTTCGGGCATCAATCCACCATCGCGTTTGTCCGGCGCCGTCCTTGACCGCCGTCGAAGACAGGCCGCGATCATGCTGGAGGGATCTGCCAGCCACTTGGTAGCAACCAGAGCCCAGATGACCCAGATGTGGACGGCTGTGGTCCAGCAAACTGGCCAAAGGGCTTAAAAATGCTTGAGACCTTTAGTTGAATCAGGGGTCCATCACGAACCATGCCATGCTTGAGCTAAAGACCATGCCAACGCGTTCGCGCTTTCGCATGCTGCGTCGACCGGTGGAAGAAACCGACGCAGGTTCACCGGGGATCCCCGTTCGTCTCAGGGGCGTTTCACGGAAGTGCACAGACGTCGGGCACGTCTCAAGGGCGGTCAAGGCATGTCAGGGCACACCACGTTGCCACACGACGGTGGCCATCGTGGATCACCCCACTCCGGGGCGCAATAGTGGTCTCTACGTACCAGGACCCTCCGACAGGTCACCATTTGAGATCTGTTAGGGCCCTTCCCAACCCTCAACTAACGACCTGGCAGTGAGGGTGCTGGTATAGAGATCAATCTTTGCAAAGTTATTGGATGTTGATTGGATCAATCCACATGCTCGTGGAGCACTTGTTCTCCACCACCTGGTCAGTCCCGCTCGCGGTCGACGCGGGTCGACTCATGGCTAAAGGCGTCCGTGCGGCCGGGGCTCGGGGCGAACGGACGGGCTTCGACGGAGTGCGGCGATGGAGCCGCCGACCTAGGACATGGACATCTGACTGTCTGGTGTTTGGTACCCTTTAAACTTGAAAAGACGCGGAGACGTGGAGGCGTGAAAAAAGACGAAGGCATCCCAAGGCCCTGGACCATCCGGAACGTGGGTGGTCCAGTCTGGAGATCCGGATGACGTAGTCTATAGGCCAAGACAACGGAATACAACGGATGGCCAAACTGATAGAACCTGGTTTAAGAGTTGGTGCAACCCAGGGTCACTCTCCATCACTTGGGTCCCAGGTGGGTCTTCTTCTTCTCAGCTATCCAAGGTGGCGTCGCCCGGACGAACACGCTCAGCAACAATGGTGGCGTGGGGATTCAGGTTCAAGAGAAGGCCAAGGCGATCTTGGAAGCTCAGACTGCACCTGGTTTTTGCCGTTCAGCTTGGAGGACCATGGGACCCTCACAGCTTTTCGTTACAGTAGACAACACTGAGGGGAGGACCCTGTCTATGTAGACAAGACCGTTTCCTGGGTGGGCCGCGGATCGGACGTGGTGTCGATCCCCAGTGATTGGCATCGGTGGGGCAGGACCACGTCGAGTGTGGAGATGGAAAACACGAAGACACAGATGTCATCCATTCATCCCAAGCGATCTGACCAAAGTCCCAAACACTGAAAGTTGACCTGTGTGCCGCCAGGGCGCACGCAACCGCCAGGGGTCGCCAGCGTATGATAGGATTGCATGATTCACCAAATCCAGATTGCATGGTTGCCTCTCTTTTTGTTAGTCAAGTTTATTTTGGTTAGTTTGTCGTTGATGTATGTCAGTACTGTGTCCATGTTTCTTCCTATTCGTCTGAAAATTATGTCTAAAATGATTCCCAGCTGTTGTTGAAGCCTTCCGCCATCCTTAATAAGGTTTTTCACACAAAAGGGGGGTGTGAGGTTCTGAAACTGGTCGCCCGCCGAAACAGAAACCACAACGAGGAGTAAACCACACCAGGAGATCCATTCGCTTCGGTGTGGAAGAATCCTCAAAGGGATGTTCATCCGATGAAGACTTAGCCTGAAGACCTTTGGTTCTATTTCCCAAATGGTGGTTTACATAAGGCTGGGTCCCAAAAATGGCTGAAATGGCATTGGAGTTCTGGCTGTGGACAGAAATTTGATGTTCCTACCCTGTCAGTGGACAACCTTTAAAATTTAGTTGCGGGGGGTTGGAGACGCCCCACGAAAATCCAACATCCCCAAGGGGATCCTTGAGGGGGTTGTACTGGTTTGTACCCTCAAAACCCGTGTTTTTGAGGGTCCCGATCCTGATCGAGATGTGGACTTTTTATGGTTAACCTGTTCCTTTCCAGGGAAACTGTTGGAGTCAGGTACAAGTGCGACGTTTCCACAAATCAAGTTCCAGCATCGGAGGGGCATGCGATGTCCACGTGCTTCCACCAGACACAAACCCTAGAAGTCTCGGCCCACCATGTTTTACATCGTTATTACCCAACAAGCCCAGCAACTATTGTTTTACTAAGGATTTCACACTACAAAAACAATTGTTTTAATGGTCTTGGACTGCCAGTGCCAAAAACTGAATCCAAAACACGGCTTCCTCCCTCCGCCCCTTTTTGGTCCAGCTGCGTTGTGGCCCGTCGCCGGATCCTGCGATCCTGCTCAGGAAAGCAACCGCATTTTTCAGGAGAAACAGCCCTGCATCAAGGTCCTAGGCACTTCCAAGTCCACCATCAGGTGGAGTCATCAGTCGCGTCCGCCATCCGTCGCCAGTCGTCTCACAGCCACGGCATTGCTGAGCTGAGCATCGTGCTGGTTTTTTGTTGGTGGGAGCGAAAAGTGACAACCTGCGTGTCTGTGTCCGGTGGCCTTTTGGACTGCAATGTTGACCTGTGAAGCTAGAGCTTGAATCCGTTGAAGCAAGGAACACGGTGGAATCTCAGTATAGATCCAAAGTGATCACGGCTTGAAGCGGACCTACCGACGGACCTACAGAGCCGGCAGGCAGAACTACCTGCTGAGCAGCGCTGCCCGCACCGCGCGGGCAGCTGCTGCGGTGTTGGCACTGGATGATGCGGAGGTGCTGGTCGAGGAGAATGAGGTCGCGGCGAAGCGGCAAGTGCTACGACGCAGTGAGACATGGACTGAACGAGTTCGCAAAGACTGTTTGAAGCCAGAAGGCATAGGTACTCAACCCCACTACGAGGCGAATCCTTTCTGTTTGGTTTATACTATATGGGATTTCCTATGATTTCCTACTAAACCACTGCAGGTTTAAAAATATTGGCAAAATGGACAGCCAAAAATTTTATGCGATTCTATATTCCAAAACTAAGATCTTCGACCCGCACCCAGTTGCTGTGGATGACTAGGCAAGAGTGGACTAGAGGACTTGGTGCCACATTTGTTCCAGGGGTCTCGCATATTTGGGGGTCGGTCAGTCTTGAAGGCAGGTGACTGTTTTTTGGTCCATGCTCTTTCACAGCGCAGAGGAAGAACACCGATCCTTCACTTCCTTTGTCCTCCCTTGATTCCCTTCGCATGCGCTGCCTTGCAGCCTGCCTAGCAGCCGGTCATTTCACAAAGGATCCGCCCTGGTGCCACCGAACAGCTGGATGCAGAACTGTCCACTGTACTTGGATTCGAAGTGCTTCGGTTCGAGAACCGCATCATCCGCATCAAGTTTTCAGGGTCGTCCGCCCATCCGAACAGACCCGACACCGACACCAAGCCTCAATGAAACAGAGCTCGAGTTGGGCCCTCAAAACCAAACCCTGAGTTTTTGAGGGTCCGGAACCTTAGGGAGATACATTTGACCAGACCAGCTTGGCGAATCGTCCCCCAGGGCCCGGGGAAAACCCTACGTCCGTTGCAGGCTGTCCGACGTCCACCCCATTTGCCATGCCTCGTGTCCACCTCGAGGTTTGCTCGAACGATCGGCGCCCAAAAAAGGACGAAAACACGTCGATGGCTCCACCGAAGAGTCTCCTATCTCTGAACTGCTCCGCGCAAGTGCATGGCACAGCATCAGAGATCAAGTGAACATATCTGAACCATGTTGAACCCCTTCAGTCCTTCAGTTATGGAGATTAGCCCTACCCCCCACTGCTAAAGGCCTGACGCCCCGTGATGTCGGGCGGGTTCACCGCAAAGACGCCGAGGACGGCGAGGAGGTCGAGCCGGAGAGGTCGCCCAAGTCGCGCCGCCGGAACCAGCCCAGCGGAACGATGGAGCGAAAAACGGGGCTCCGGAATTTCGTCCGGCCGGGACTGCGGAGGTGCTGCGGAGGTGCGGAACCCCTTATTGGCCCCAGTATATATGGCCATAGTTGATGAACAAGGACGCTACAAACGGGGCTCTTGTAGGAAGGACGCTACAAACGGGGCTCCTGGCCATACTTGTTGACGAGTTTAGAGTGGCTTTTGGTCGGGTTTAGAGTCCGTCCGGCCCCATTTTGGGGGAGGTGGGACCATGAGGGGACGGAAGGGCACCATGGACCATGTGCAAACCTTCTGCAAGGCGGCGGTTTTTTGGGGGGAGTGGTTTTGCCACTCTGGTGGGGGTGCTTGAAGCCAAACCCTTTCGTCTAGTGGTTATTCAGCTGCATTCGCGCAGGAAGCGACGGTAAGAATCATCGGACTGGTCGGACTGTGTTGTCAGATCAGAGCTGCCAAGCTTGTGGGCCAATTCATCGACAACTGACCCATCCAAATCCAAACGACTCTTGGCACTGTGATTTTTCTGCCAGTGTGCAGAAAGTTGGTTTTACAGGCCAAAAGCTGGTTCTTTGCCGGCTATGATCACTCTGGCTGGAAGTCATGTTCCAAAATACAGGTAATTAGTATAACTAGGTACCAGTTGGAATCATCGATGAAAAATATGTTCTTTCAACTTTCCGTTGGCATACCATTTGAAATCCTTTAATCCTCCCTTTTTCTACGCATCCCGTTTCCTCACGAAAGATTCGCTCTTTTGGACTGCCCGAGGCAAGATTTGGACGTCGTGCCCCTCAGTGGGGGAACCCTGAGCGTCGTGGCGGTGGGCGGTCCGTCAGACCCTGGCCGTTTCAAACGGATTTTTACGGTAAATGGGCTCCACAGAGACCCTGCAGGTCGGAGGAACGTGGAACCCCCAGAACGGTCTGAGCCTTTTTGGGACGCCCATTTCATCACCGAAGAGGCAGATCCTAGGAGGAACGTCCCTTGGAGGACCTGGTAGCCTAGGCTTAGTGGTTTGAACGTACGGGTCAATTCGGGATCGTTTGGGCCATAGGGGCCATATTCACGCGGGAGGCTAAAAGGACCCGGGTCTTCGAGATGAGATGATGGGACACATGCAGTGCAGTTCTGGGGAATCCTCTTAGTTGGCTAACAGAAATGGGGGGCGCATGCCAAGCTCTTAGGGAAACAGTGCAGTTTTGTTTGGCTAAGAGGTTGGCATTACTGAACTGCCCTGTGATGAATCTTGATTTGAGGAAGGGTGGGTTGATCCGCTAGAGGACCATGTAGGATTTTTGCCCACATAGTTGTTCCCTGTACATGTTGATCACTCATGTTCATCCAGTAGCGACCTAGAGAGAATCCCAGCATGATCCAGTCTCTTTTTAGTTTAAAACCTCAGCCCACATGCACACCGGAATTCGATATGTTCCACCCAGATGCGACCCTGGACCCTCCGTTCAGTAGGGGCCGTACCTTCATATGAAGGGGTCCGGACCCAAACCAATCCCAGTTTTGAGGTACCAAGGGCTGTGAACGGAGCGGAATTCGATATGTTCGACATTCACCACCCAAAACCACTGGTCATGTAGGCCATATTAGGCCATCTTTACTTGCTATGGATCGTTTGGGATGGGTTGTTCCACCTTTTTCGCTGCGTAACTTGTTGCCAACGGGCGCGTAAGTTACGCCCGTGTTTTTCGGCGCTTCACCGGCCAGATGGCGGGCAGAAGCTGGGAGGACGGAGGCGGACTGAGAGAGCCACGGAGAGAGCCACAGAGAGAGCAGCGAAGCGGCCATGGAAGAGGCCATGGAAACGTCTTTTGGGTGGTGCGCCATTTGTTCCTAGTAGCTTCTTGCTACTAGTAGCGATGGCCTCCAACCTACTTGCGCTGGCCTCCACCTCGTAGCGTCCTTGTTACTGGTTTCAGAGATGTCTAGTCAACTTTTGCATGGGATGATTGATCCAGCAGGTCCTCATATGTTTTACTCGTGAGTTGAAACCGCCAACCAGTCTTGAACGTCTCCCCCTGACGGTGGAAGCCATCATAAGCCCCAAGGACATGTGTTTCCCCAAAACTGGGTCGGGTCCTCCACTCGTCCGATGCAAAGCTCTTAAAAACAAAGCCGAGAGTGACAACGAGTGTGGAAAATGAGCGCAGAAGACAGCTGTGAGAGGCCTCAGGAGTTGACTAAGACGTGTTAATGGTGAATCCTGTTCCCTGCGAGCGTCAGCATGTGTAGTTTCATCAGGTCCAGTTTAGCACCTATCTGTCAAAAATGGTCTTGGGAACTTACCAGCACCTTCCAACAGGTCTCCGAAATGGAGGGTTGGGAAAGGCCCTAACAGGTGTCAATTGGTGACCTGTGAAGTCGGTGCTGGTAGTTATTGTCGTGAATTTCAGGACGAGCAGTTCGACATCATGCAGTTCCTCGAGTCACCGACCTCGACCCTTCTGTCTATCGTTCGACCCTTGTGTCCCACCCCGGCCAGTGTACCTCAGGTGGCTATTGGCTATTCCGCACTTTGTTAGCCAAGTTCGATCGCCTTTTTTCGCCACAAGTGCTCAATCAAACGAAGGAGATGCCGAATGGCCTCAAAGAAACAAATTCATATCTAGAACTAGAACCTGAATCACCTCTATTTTTGGACTACCAATCACCCAAATATGGTCTTTTCCTACGTATATCAAAACAGTGGTCATGTCTGGGTTTGAGGTGTGTATACCCCAGAAGTCCAGTTCGACTCTATGTTGACCGACTGCAGTAAAGGAAAAGTCCTTCTTCGGGTCACCGTTCGTCCAACCATTCCATTTATTGGTCGACTGGACTCCCAGGTGATATCCCTGATTGTTCGGTAGAACGGTAGAACCACCAGGACCTTCAAAGTGACCTTTTGAGATCCTAGAATGAGGTCACTTAGTCCCTAAAGAGGTCACTTAGAGACTCCAAAGAGGTATAACCACTGGCCCCCATCGGCCTTTCTGGCCGTCCAGTGGGGTCCGTTTGGTTCTCATCGCAGTCGCTCCAGGCCTGGCCAAGAGGCACCGGTCACCGACGTGGCCCTGCGGACGCCCACGAAGCCCGGGGCACCGGTGGAGGACGGTCTGAGGGTCTGAGTCTCCCAGGGTGTGTGGGAGGACTGGATTGTAAGACGACTCTCAATCTGACTTAAAAAGAAATGACTTCCAGTCTTAGACTATCTGTAGGTCTGTGGGGTTGTCAAAGTGTCGAGTCCGACGGGGTGCCCAGATGGGTTTGGAAAAACAGGGAAAAGGGTTCTACCTTCGAGTCCAAAGACGACGGGGAAGTCCGGAAGTGTGCCGGGACACGACCGTGTGACCCTCCGTTCACTAGAGGCCGTACCCTCATATAGTCCCTCATATATGGAGGGGTTTTGAGGTACCGGTCGGCCTGTAGTGTTCGGGTGGCACAGATAGGGGTAGATTTCTGGGCGGATTTGTGGATGAAAAGTGTCCAGATCAGACTGTGGCATACACACATTAGTTATATTAGTTGGCCTTGTACAAATGATGCCCTCAAGTGTACAAGCAAGTTCGGAAAAACAACAATGAAGTTACCTTCACCGGCCGGTTCGTGAAATCCATAGGAATCCCCACCTCCCAGAGGGGGTGGCTTTGGGGCCTGCAAACAGTTCGAGGTGTTGAGCCACCGGAAGAAAAACAGTGGAGCACTTGGATTCACCCACAGGTTCATACAGGTACTATAGGTGAAGGTTTTCGGAAATGGTTCTGTTCAACCAAAATACTTGGGACCTGGGATGTTTGTTTTTAAAACCCGTTCTTTTGATCAAACTCGTACGTCTTCGTTGCAACCACCGGGCCCAGCAGAAAAAACATGTCTCTTGCGCCATCGAAACGATGGTTGGTGGAGGTCATCCACTCCTTTTCTCCTCCCGGTCCTCGGCGGGGTCTTGGATTCGTCCACCCCGCGGGAGTCCGCCGCGGCCGCAGCCGTCGAGGTCCTTTGCACAGATCAAAGTGCTCCTGAAACTCCGATGGTTACTCCGTCCGGAACCCGAGAGTGGACCGCAACAAGCGCCCTGACCCGGAGGTGTGTGGAGTGGCACGATTGGAGACCGCCATGCGTTCCAATGACTCAAACCGTATAGGCCGTCGCTATTAGGTTGATATAGGAGGCAACAGGAATCCTCTGAGACTGGTGATAGCACTGCTTGATGACGTAACGCTTGGGTGCTTTTTGAAAGAGATGTCATTCGAGCCCTGGGGAGCCATTGAATTCAGGCCCTGAATGGGCGTCGGCGTCCGCCCTCCCATGGAATCTGGACGAAATCCTGGATCTGCAGCCCAAAGGATCCATGTAATAAGGTCATTGTATGGCCTACATGACGGGTGGCTTTCGGTGGTCGTCATGGTCATAGAACTTCGCCCCCAGATTCAGGGCCCAATGCTACGCTCAACGACGACCGTGGCAACCGAATAAGATCGGGCGAGTGAACTCCACCGTCGTGGAACCGCCCGGCACGGGTGACCGTAATCCCAACATCCACGTGGCACGTGCCCGTTGGTTTACATGGTATGGTTAGTGTGATTTTCCCAAGCTGGGGATTCAGCCCCCTCCTGGTGGAAGATTTGTTGGCTCTTTTTCCTACTTCTTGTATCATCAAAGCGTCAAAGTCCGAAGCACTTGGCACCACCGGTGGTCTCCATCGTCGGTTCTCCCGTGGAGGGACCGACTGGTCGGTGATCAGCAGAAGTCCGATGGCCTGAGGAAAACCATGGAGAACTCTCTGAGTAATTGATGGAATTGATGATCAATGAAGTCATCATGTCAATTGAAGTCATTAATTACTGGTGTTCCATGGCCTCGGTGTCTTTCGGAGTATCATGGAAAACCTCTCCCGCCACGCAACGGCGAAGAAACCCAGCGACCTCGCTCCGTCGTTCCATTCGGACCTTCGTTTCCACTCCGGAACCACGGAGCGTCGTCATTCCGATAATAGGACAACTCGGTTTCAACCGGCTGAGGACTTCATTCCGCGTGCTGCGAACTGGACTATAAGATGTGCTCCTTGAGGCGGGCGGAGTCTTTGCACGGGCGAGAGAGGGGGGCGGCCTCGAGCGGCTTCGTCCCAAGTGTCCCGCCGTGCCCTTCGTGTTTGACCGCGTGTGACCTCGTTTGACCGGGTGTTTTGGCGAGAAGGTCAAGCGGTTTTGGGGCGAACTTCGAAGGTGTCTTTGTTTTCTTCGTCTCTTTAGACCGGGGTAAACACCCCGGTCTCAGGTTGATTCAAATCACTGACCCGCTCCGAAGAGAATCGCCGTTTTCTGGGTCTAGCTACTCACTAAAGCTGCAGGAGGAGACATCAAGAGATCCTGCCCTTGAAGGGATCAAATGGGTATTGCTTGTATGCATCCTGTCCCCGGATATAGTAGCCACAAAAAGGTTTCATTACATGCTCACCATTACATGCTCTCCCGTTCTTTTTGGGAGCACCAGAGATCTTGCCAAGATATCCACAAACCCGCAAACATGTTATTGTGTTATTGTGGTCTTTGCTATTGATCACCCAATATGTCCCATACACTCCATGGCACTGCCATATATGCCTATCCGTTGACCCCCCTGGCACCACCCCTGGTCGTTTCGCAGTCCGGACTGGTAGTCCCAGACGGGTCTCGTCGGATCTGTGTGATTCTGTTGTTCTGGTGGTTCAACGCTTGGCGACTTGAAGCCCCATGAACGCAGAAAGACAGATGGATCTGCTGGCCAAAGCTGGCCCTGGTATAGCAAGTGTTTGCGATCAATGAAGCATGTTGGGCCCGTTCGTCGCGTCCGATCGCTTCCTTCGTAGCGATGCCCTTTGTTACTAGTAGCTTCTTGCTCCCAGTAGTAAGGCCAGGAGCCCCTAGTATCGTCCTTGCTCCTAGTAGTAAGGCTGTTTGCCAGGAACATCATCCTTGGCATGCAGTATGTGGCGACGACCTCAGACAAGAAGTGACGAGTCGCGATCGTCAGCGGATCACTTGCGTGATTTCTGGTGCTATCGGGGATTGTTTCCTTTGTTTTTTGCCGCAGCGCAAGGATTGACAGAAAACAGCCATCTTTCCTCTGATGTAGACGGTTGATTAGTAAAAGCCTTTTTGGAATCCCAATTGGGGTATTTATCCATCAACAGGGTGCTGCATGATTCTTTGGGTTTTGCGATGCCTTTTTTCATGAAATCCTGGTTCCTGCAGGGTGCCTGGTCGGAACAAACTTGCGTGACCGGCGCTGCTTGTTGGACCGCTGCTTGTGCAGTCCTAGGGGTCCTTTTGTGTGGTCCAGTGTGCAGCCCCAAAGCCATTCAACGACAAGCTCTGTTCAGTTGAATGATGTTAGAATCAATGACCCTCAGACTCCCATAATATACTTTTTTTGTTTTCCGGTCACCGGTCCGGTCACCGGCCCGGTCACCGGTCCGGTCTCCGGCCCGGTCTCCGGCCCGGTCTCCGGTCACCGGCCCGGCCCGGTCCCGGCCCAAGCTCCGGCCCGGTCTCCGGCCCGGTCACGGTCCGATCTCCGGTCCGGTCTGCGGCCCGGTCTCCGGCAAGTTGGAATGACCACTTCTGTATCTAAACTTTACCCCTGCATTGCCCACAGAAAGGGGTCAGTCAAGTTGGAATGGCAACATCCTTCTCTAAATTTTCCCCCTGCATTGCCCACAAAAGGGTGAGTCGAGTTGGAATGACCACTTCCTTCTCTAGATTTAGTCCCTGCGTTGCCCACACAAAGGGGTGAGTCAAGTTGAAGTGGCAACATCCTTCTCTAAATTTTATCCTCGGGTGGCTCACCAAAGGGCGCGTCAACTTGGAAGGGCAACTTCCTTCTCTAAATTTTACCCCTGCATTTCCCACACAGGGGTGAGTCAAGTTGAAACGGCTACATCTTTCTCTAAATTCTACCCCTGCATGGCCCACAAAAGGGTGCGTCAAGTTGGAATGACCACTTCCTTGTCTAAAACTTACCCCTGCATTGCCCACACAAAGGGGTGAATCAAGTTGAAAAGACACATCCGTCTCTAAATTCTACCCCTGCGTTGCCCTTGCATGGCCCACAAGGGTGTGTCAAGTTGAGGGCCACTTCCTTCTTTAAATTTTACTCCTGCCTTGCCCACAGAAGGGTGAGTCACTGGGTGAGTCAAGTTGAAATGGCAACATCCTTCTTTAACAAAAGGGGGAGTCAAGTTGGAGCTTCCTTCTCTAAATTTTACACCTGCATTGCCCACGTAAACGGGTGAGTCAAGTTGAAACAGTCCAGTTGAAATAACAACATCCTTCTCTATAATTTACCCCTGCATTGCCCACAAAAGGGTGACTCAAGTTGGAATGACCACTTCCTTATCTAAAATTTACCCTTGCATTGCCCACATAAAGGGGTGAGTCAAGTTGGACTGGCAACATCCTTCTCTAAATTTTACCCCTGCATGGCCCACCAAAGGGCGCGTCAACTTGGAAGGGCAACTTCCTTCTCTAAATTTGCCCTCTTACCAAAGGGCG